CCTGCTGAATAGCGGAGTTAACTTGGCCTTGAGCCATGCAGTCTTGGCTGTGCCGTATAGCAGTACCACTGCCAGAGGCTGAGTCTTGAGGAGGGGAATTAATGTGTGACCTTCCAGTTGGAGGCAATGGCTTCACATTAGTCCTTCTTCCCTGAGCAATTTCTGTTTCTCAGGTTTTGTCCTCTTCACCCTGTCCTTGTGATGAAGGCAGTTTGGGCCTCCCTCTTCTGTGAATGAGGGATCTGCTTCTGGCCCGGGTGCTGAGCTGTAGGCTGCAGTCCCAGGTCTGTGGGAGGACAGAGCTGGCAGCAGCTGTGGGGGTAGACAGGTTAGCAAGGGGAGGAGAAGAGGAAAGGTGGCGGTGGGGCTTAGGTGCGGAATGCCTGCAGTTGACAGTGAGCATGTGAGCAGCCCTGTAAAGCTGGAGGAAGAGGTGACTAGTTACAGGCAGTGATTTTTGTGGCCATTGTAAAAGCCACGTGCTGGAGAATAAGCACAGGGTGCTGGGACTGGATTGGGCTCCCCCAGGCTGGCTTAGAGGGCTGGGACAGACCTTATGAATGTAAAGGGCCTCTCTCTCTTCACCTCAGCTCTGTGCAAGTATGAGGAGTGTTCAGTACTGGTTCTCCCCTCAGATATGCAGCAGCACGAGTGCGCCATGAGCTGGAAGGCACATGATGGGGAAGTCTACTCCGTTGAGTTCAGCTATGATGAAAACACAGTCTACAGCATAGGCGAGGATGGCAAGGTAGGCTCTGGGTGACCTTCTACCGGTCAGTTGGCAGCGAGATCCCTTCTGGAGTCTTCTCCATATGGTGGGGATAGCAGTAAAAATGCCCTCAGAATCTGGAGGATCTGCAGGCTGCTGACTGTAATCTTAGGTGTGCAGCACCATCCTGCTGGATGCAGTCTCTGCAGAGAGAGTGGCTGGAAAGCATATTAACAGCTGGAGCTGTCTCAGACCTTTGTCTGCAAATCCTGCTGTTGGTGACATCCCCTTCCTAGGGAATCCATGTGAAGATGACCTTTCTGGGCCTCTGACGTCACCACATTTGAAATGTGGGATTCACCAGGGAGCAGATCCTTGATCGCGTCGCATAAATTTCTTTGTCAGCAGCTCCCTGTTGCTTATAATAAAGGTTTCAATTTCTGCAGTTCCACAGTCTTCAGCAGTAGAGGTGTGGCTCAGGGAGGGAGACTGCCTGAAGGTGTGGGTCCTTGGCTGATGAGAGTTTAGTGAATTCCCACCATGATCCTGCACGCAATGTGGAAGGACACATAGGCAGCAGTGCTCGTGGAAGGTAGAGCATATGTTTGCCTGGATAGTAGGCACTCCTACAGCCTTTGCAGCCTATGTTTTATAAATCTAGCCACTTCGATATAGATGTCAAAATGCCATCTTCTGTTTGTGAGGAATAGCCACTTTGCTTAAAAACGACGAATGGCCCCTCTGCTTTCATCCCAGTGAATTTAACTATGGGCTTTTGTCATCTCTTTTTGTTATTCTAGTTTATTCAGTGGAATATTCACAGAAGTGGCTTGAAGGTGTCTGAGTATGATCTTCCCAGCGAAGCTACTGGTCCTTTTGTTCTGTCTGGGTACAGTGGCTACAAGCATCTGAAGCAGCACCTACCCATCCCTGCTCTGTGAAAGCTGCCGCTCAGTTTCATACAGTGTGCATTTTAGCAGTGTGTGGTGTTTAGCAAGTGTTTGAACCCTCTGTGTTTGGCCCTCTCTATGTAGCTAGAGTATGCGTGCTCCTTGTTCTTAAAGCTTAGCTGCAGCAGTTTTCCTCGGTGCCCAAGTGCCTAGGACAAAGTTTTAACTTTTTTTTAATATACTGATGCAGGCCAGTTCAATGCAAAATGTGTGATTGTTGACTGATGCTCATCTTTAATCTGCCTTGTGTGCTTGCTGATGTTATGCTAGTCTCAGCCTGATTCTCTCCTCTTACTGTGTACTGAAATGAAGTGAAGGGTAAGGCTGAATGGCTCCAAGTCCCCAAGTTTCTGTGCGGCAGTAACAAGCAGTTACTGATTGCATGCCCCTTGCCTGCCTCCTCTTGAGTTAATACCCATCCGTATAAGCCATTGCAAGGCAGATTAGATGCAATTTTTTACTTTGCATCTAGGGCATTCAGAGCACCCACAGTAACGTGAGCTATAGCTTAGGCTTATGCACTCCTCATCAGCGTGTGCTCTTAGCCTGCTTTGTTCAATTACTGCAGCTCAGCTGATGTCAGAAGCTGAGCTGCTTGAGAACACATGCTTCTGTCATGAGACTGGAAATTTGCTTCCTCATGTGTGCTACATACATCTCAACATCTCTCTGATTTTCTGCTTAATTAGGTATGCTGATAGGGATATGGAGTCTGTAGCAGGCTTTGGCTTCTCCTGTGGGTGTACTGCCCCCACTGCAGAAACTTGCTTCCTTAAAATCTTATGCTTTCCTTCTTTTAGTTAAATGGTGAGGAAAAGGTTCTGGAGAGCTGCCTTTCCCTGGGAGGGCACCGAGCTCCTGTTGTCACAGTGGATTGGAGCACAGCCATGGACTGCGGGACCTGCCTCACTGCCTCTATGGATGGGAAGATTAAATTAACAACCTTACTGGCTCAAAAGTCTTAACCTGGACAGTGCTGAAGGCAAAGAGCAACAGACTTGACAAAAGCAGCGCTAACTCCACAGGAACAAACTGCATGGGAGAGAAGACAAACCACAGTCCCTCTTCTCATTGTAGCTTTTGCCTCTTGACAAACGTTAAATACATTTGCCAAACCACTGTGCAATAGAATGCCGGTATGGGACCGGATCAGTGGGAGCACTGAAAAGTAAGTCTCCACTGACCCACTGTGGCAGCTGGACTCCCTCCGTTAGGGAGTCTTGGGTAGCACATTGCTAGAAGGCTGCTGGGATCACACCAGGGGTTCTGCAGAAGGTGGTGAGGCTGGAGGAGGCATGCATGAGGCACCACAGTGCATGCTGATAAAATAGCTCAAACTGGAAAGGCCGGTGCGAAACCAGAGTATTCTTTTGGTATAACATTTGTTGTTGTGCTTTTTTGGGGTTTTTTTGTTTGTTTTTTTTCCATAAAACCAAAATATTCCCTTGCACTTGATTTCTGTGCTCTCTTCAGCTGTTGCTGCAAAACATGGAGGGTGGCTGGGGCAGTGATGTGCCAAGAAAGTCTCCTGCATGGAGAAAAGACCTCTGTGCTTTCACCAGGTGCTTCCGGCACGGACACCCGCACACCGAGGGGAACCAGTGCAAGACATCCAGGAGCAAAAATAGTTGTGTTTGTTCGGAGGTATTGTGTTCCCTTGCGATACCTGCTACCAAGTAGAGGAGAGATCCCGAGTCAGACTTTTTGAAATGCTCATGCTGGAGTTCAGAAGCTACATCATGCCTAGCAGCTACCTGATGGCGGATAGGAGGAGGGAGGGCCAGAACCAGTCTGGTCCTGTGTAGTGCTCTCTGTCACTGGAGCTGTCTCTCCCCCCGCACCCCGCCAACATCAGGGCAAGTGCTGTGCTCAGGTATTGCATAGTCTTTGAATGGACTGCTAAGCAGCCAGATTTCATCTGCTTACACATCACCACGGAGCTTACTGCTGCTTCTGACCTTGGCCTTTATTGGGAGTTTACAGTACTGTTCCTTGGCAGAGCTCTCATTCTCAATTATATGACGAACGGGTCCAATTTACTGTGTGAAGATAGCTTTGGTATTTTCCAAAGGGAGGCCATTTTGGTTTTAGAGCCTGGACATCCGTTAACATTCACCAGTGTGAAGGGTGATCGCCCGGAGAGGAGGTGGGACATTGTTTCGGTCTGGTTTTGCCAAGTGTGCTTTGGCGTATTTGTGAAGAGTGGCTCGTCAAAGTTGTAATGCCTAGCTAGCTATTGCCTTGCGTTTGAAGAGAGGGGGACCGGGCCAGGGGGGCCTCCATAGCCGGCAGCTTCCACTGCTGCCCAGCCAGACCTGAAGCGTGATGGTGGTTCTCCACTTCCAGGTCTCGAGCTGGGGGTTGGAAATCAAGATTTGCTTGGCTAACTCTACGGCCATTCTTCACTGGTGGCATCACGCTTCAGAACGTGGCTTGGTGTCTGAGAAGGTTGTTGCCGTCTTTGTGCCTGGAGATGTTGGATGCAGTCTGCAGTTGTTCTGTCTGTTGCATGTAGCCCAAGGAAGACTACAGTTACAGCTGAGGTCCGACTTGGGCAAAAGGCTCATTCAAGCAGGCAGGAGGTCTAGCCGAATCAAACTGGGCCTGCAGCGTGAAATTTCCAGATCACTGGGGACATTTGTGCCTTGAAAGCACAGCCTCGTCGAGGCTGGAAGGGGCCGCATCTCGTCCGTCCCTGCCCTGCTGAAAGCAGGGTCAGCCAGGGCAGGTCGCACAGGGCCACGACCAGGTTGGAGCATCTCCAAGCATGGAGACTCCACCACCTCTCTGTGGCCTAAATAAGCCGCCCTCAGGCTGAGCTGGTGCCTCCAGCCCCAGCCCAGGTCCCTGGGGCCTCCAGCCCATGGGCCCAGGAGGCCCACTGAGGCGTAGACAGAGGCCTCCAGGCCCTGCCTGAGCTCTGTCATGGTGTCCCTGTCTCCAGCTCTGTCTCAGCTGTGCCCGGCCACAGACCGCGCTGCTCCAGACCCCAGCGCGCAGGCTGCCTTCCCAGCCTGCCCTTGGCCTCCCTGTGGTCCTGCCTGGCCCGTCACTGGGCTGCATCTGACCCTGCTCGCCACCACTGGGCCTGAACCCCAACCCGGCCTGGCCCGACTTCCTGGCTTGCCCTCAGAGCTGCTGCCTCACCAGGCACTTGTCCGTTCCTCTGGGTTCTCAGCTGCCCCGGGTGCCCACCCTGGGACCGCCCTGCTCCCCTCGTTCGCGTAGGCTGAGGCCAGCAGGGCAGGGCCCAGCTGTGGGGCACCCTTTGGCTCCCTGTCCCCGAGGAAGCAGCGTGCCTGCGCTGCTCCCTGACACCGGTCTCTCACCACCCTCACGAGAGAAAAGGTTTTTCCTTAGGTTGAGGTGGGATTCCCCCTGTTCCAGCTTGTGCCCACTTCTTCACACCTTTCCCCTCGGCAGGCTACAGATCCATCGGATCCCCGTGGGGTCTGCAAAGCTTCCATGGCTACCAGAAGCTCGCCCACCACCTTCTGCCCAGACCACCCGGAGGATTGCTCTACGGAGGCAGGAAGAGTCTGGTAACTGATTATTAGCAGCAGCTCAGCGCTAGTCCCTGATCTGAGCACAGTCATGGTTCACGCCTCCCCAGAGGAAAAGGACACAGATGCGTGCTCCCTCTCAGAGGCGACTGCAGGACTGATTTTCATTCAGAGCAAGGGCAGAGAGGGACGTGCTAACTGCCTGCATCAGAAGAGAGCCTGAGTGAGCCTTCAGCACTAGGCCTCTCCTCATCCAAACCCGCTAGGTCCGAAGCACTCCAGTTGTGCAGCAAAATAAGACACGTACTAGATGATGCAGTTTATTAAACACCCAGCTGCAACAGAACACTTGGAATTAGATGCAGGGAAGTGGCTGCACAAGGTGGAAGGCAAAGGTTTCCAGGCTTCATTCATCTCCCTGTGAGCACTCTGTTTTCTGGCACTGGCACTTCCTCTGCTCCAGCATCTCCTCATCGCTAACCGTGTTGGAGGTTCAGCTGCGACTGTGGAAGGGCAGGAAAAGAAAAGGCTGTGTGTTAGTTTTACAGCAGGCTGGGCCAAAGGCGGCGCTGGAAAGCGGGTCCTGGAAGTACAGCACTAACGCGCAGATCCAGATACCGAAAACCAAACACGCAAAATGTGTCAACAACAAACTTGCAGCCTTTGGGCTACAGACACATGTGGAAAATTGCGTTACATGGACATAGGGATCAACTTCTTGTGGGTTTTGCCTTATTTCTTGCCCAGCTCTTTCTCCCATCTCTCTTTTAGGCTGCTGTAGTTGGCTGTGACCCACCATGCTAGTCTCCCAACGGCTTCTGAGGTTAAGCCCTGGTTCTGCCCTGGTTCTTCCCGAGTCCCACGCGGAGTGGACAACTTTTCTCGCAGGTCCTGGGTTTATGTTGCCCGCCGCATGCGTTTTTTTGACTGCATCTCCACCTGTTGGGAAATGTCACCAACTTGTAGGCAGCAAAACAAAAGGAACTCAAAGAGAGAGCTCTAAAGTTACTCACTTCTGTGGCAATCCGTAAGGTGGGGGTCCATCGAGACTGCATTCGTCACCTGCTGACAGAGTATTCAAACGTATTAAAATCTTGATGTATGGTGACCAGCTCTGCTTCTTCTTGCTCGGGGCCCCTGGGACCGCGTCCTGGCCGGTGAGGCCATTGAGCTCAGCAGCCCTGCTGGGACTCCTGGCTCATGGTTTTTACCCATCACGGTAACTACCTCCGTGTTCATCACCATCATCACCAATCTACTGCTACAACAGCAGCAGGAGCCTCAAGAGAAGTCAGTCGATTGCAAAATACAGCCAACAGATAATTAGCAGCACGGAAAAAAAGTATAGGAAAAGAATCGTACAGGTTCCAGCAGAAAAAAACAATCGCCTCAAATCCACCAAACAAACCAGAGCTCACCTTTCTTCTTCTTTGTTTACCAACTTCGTTGGCCACCTCAGAACAGCTGTTCTTCATCTCCTCCTGGGAACTGAGCTGGGACTCTCTCTTTCTCCC